TCTAACCCTTTCACCAAACAGTGCTATGTGCGTTCTCTGGGGCAGGGGAGGGGCCCTGTGGCCGGCCCATCCTGTGGGTTCCATCCACCTTAGGCCAGAGCTGGGGGAGGGGGACTTGGGAGTTGCAGTGGGCAGGACCTCGGATTACTCAGTGACCAAAGTAGACACACTGCAGTACCTCCAGTCAGCCTCAGCAGCAAAGACATTAGTGGCTCCCATCACCAAAAAGATTAGGGCCTTCGTTGGTTTCATGCACAGATGGATTTAGGGAGTTCACCTGTGCCAGCCTGTCAGCCTTGCCTTCCCTGGTACAATCCTCCCTGTCCCGTGTCCAGGTTCCTACCCAGTCAGTGCAGCAGTCATGGGTCCAGCCTGGTCATGTGCCATCACCAGTCACTGTGATGGGCTGTGTTGACTGGCCAGGCCTGGGGGCATGTGCTCCCCTTGGAGAGCCCTGGAAGACTCGAGGGTCCTCACCAGGGCAAGGGGTATGGCTTCTGGGGAGGCAGGAGCAATCAGGCCCCACCCCATCCAGCTCTGCCAATCTTGGGTCTCCATGGCTGGGCACAGGCCACAGACACAGAAAACAGCGTTGTGAGAAGTTGTATGCACTGGAGACAATGGGTAAAGGGGTCAGTGTGTCAGAGCAGGGCAGGGGGCTGGTCAGGGGAGGTCTTACTGAGAAGGTGACCTTTAAGCAAAACCCTGGTAGGGAGAGACTGAGCCAAGGGGACAACCAGGACAGCATAACAGGAAGAGGGACAGTAAGTGCAAAGGCCTGGACCACAGCTGGGGTGGGGGCATGAGCAGTGGGGGTACACCAGGAGGGTCTGGTGGGCCCAAAGGAGGAAGTCTGGCTGCCACTTGGGGGTTTTGGCTGCAGCCAGGATCACAGCCACTGCCTGTGGGGCCGACGGACAGATCCAACCCCATGCCAAGCAGCACCTCTGCCCCTGCTGGGTCGGGAGGCTTCAGCCCTTACCCTGGGGCCTTCGCCCACAGGGCCAACACTAATCCCACCTTCCCTGGGATGGGTTCTACAGGGCTGGTACCACAATGGGACTTAGAGCAGGCTGAGGGGGCTTCCCTGAGGAGGTGGCACTGGAAGCCCTGAAGGATGAGCCAGAGTCAGGGATGGGGGGAGGGCAGTTCATGGAACTGGCTTTTTTTTGAGCGCCTACTCTATACCAGGTATTGTCTACACCTTATAAATCCTATTTTACTGACATGAGGCCTATTTTGAAAGGAAATTGAGGCTCAAGGAGGTGATATGGCCTCTTCAAGGAGTCCTAGCTGGGGCCCACCCTGCTCCATAGCTCCTCTGCATTCTGCTAAAACCCATGGCCTCCCCCCTGGCAACACACGGGCCTCCAGGTGTAGGCAGCCCCATGAGCAGTTTGCACTGGGGCAGGCTGTGTAGGGTGGTGGTTAGCATGCCAGGCTGGGGGCCGCCAAAGCAGAGCCTCAGGGTAGGCGAGACCCTGGCGTGATTGGGAACGGAGGCTTTTGTGATTTTCTGTCCCTCTGATGTGGGCTCTGTATGTGTGGCTGGCTTTCACTGCCCCCTGGTGAAGTGTGGGTAACTGGGGTGGCAGTAAATGGAGCTTGTAAACTGGGGCCCACGGGCCTGCTCAAGGTTTTGTTTTGGGGGGGGGGTTGTGGTAAAATATGTACAACATAAAACTTGCCATCTTAAGCATTCTTAAGTGAAAAGCACTGAACATATTCACAGCCTTGTGCAACCAACACCATTATTTCCAAAACTTTTCATCACCCCAGAGACTCTGTACCCATTAAGCAAGAACTCGTGCCCCCTCCTCCCCACCCCGGGTAACCACCTATCTACTTCCTGTCTCTATGAATTTGCCTATTCTAGATATTGCCTATAAGTGAAATCATGCAACATTTGTCCCCTTGTGTCCAAACTCCATTCCTTTTTATGGCTGAATAATACTCCATTGCATGGATAGACCATATTTTGCCCATCTATTTATTTGTCGGGGTTTTCCAAAATGTAAACAATGTAAATTGGTCGCCAGCATTTTAAAACCTGTCTTCTAAAAACTTGGAATACATGGCCACACGAGGTCTGGGCTCAGAGTATCTCATGGGTGTCACCTGCCCAGCTACTTCCCTTACCAGATCAGGGTGGCCTCTGAGTACAGGGAAAGAGGGCGTGCCACCCCTGGAGCTAGTGCCTGTTGTTCCTTGGTCAGGCAACAGGGACACACAGCCCTGAGGCGACAGTATTGGCAGCAGAGAGTCTAGGCCCCAGGCAAGATTCTGACCACGCATCCTTAGCAGCTCCTGAGCCTCATTGCGTCACACCCAGGGAGGGCAAGTCCATCCTCCCCTGAGAAAACCTGGTGAGGGAGGTGGATGATGGGATGTCACCTCTGGCCCCATGCAGGGTGTAGCACTGCAGCTGGCCTGGGGCCCAAAGCCCATAGTGAACAGTGACCATTGGCATGTGCCAGGCATGGTGCCCACTGAGGAGCAGCCCCTCTTCCAGAAGAGGAATCCAAGGCCCTCCAAGGTCAAGCAAGTAGCCTGTGGAGTGTGGTGGCAGGGTGTGAATTCGTACCTGCAAAGTGGGCTAAGAATGGGGCCCCCACAGAGCTCGTGGGCACTTGGACAGTCAGCCAGTGTGGGTGACCATACTTGTCCTCTGGAACCTCAGGCCCTGCCCTGGTGTGGGTAGGCAGCGCTCAGGTGGAGGGGGCGTGAAGCATCCCTAGGAAGGCTGGGTGACAGGATGGGGTTGGGGCTGTCGGTACCTCCTTCCCAGGCACTTCCTTAGCTGGAAGTAACATGGCGGGCAGACAGTAGAGCCTGAGCACAGGCCTTGAGATGAGAGGGCCAGCAGTGGCCAGGATAGTGGGACTGGGCTGGGGGAGGCTGCAGAGGCCATGGGACAGAGCACCTTGGGCAGGAATCTGGACTCTCACGGGCAGTGGGTAACAGGAAGGTCATGGAAGGAGGCAGTGCGGAAGAGGCTGGTGCCGTAAAAGGATGGGGCAGAGATGGGGAAGCAGGGCCCGGGGTGCTGAGGAGGGAGGGCAGCTCGGGAGGGCTGGGTGGGGTAAGGGCGGGAGTGGGTGTGGTTTGGGACACCAGAAGACAGTTGGCACCCCTCTACCATAATTCACTTCCCAAGTTATCCTCAAAGTTCAGTAATACAGGGCCGGCCCCGTGGCGCACTCGGGAGAGTGCGGCGCTCCTGCCGCGGGTTCGGATCCTATATAGGGATGGCCGGTGCGCTCACTGGCTGAGCGCGGTGTGGACAACACCAAGCCAAGGGTTGTGATCCCCTTACCGGTCACAAAAAAGACAAAAAAAAAAAAAAAAAAGTTCAGTAATACAGGCATCTGTCCCCCCAGGAGAGCTGGCACCTTGGTTGTGGTCATTGCTTTGTTTCCCTGCCTGGGACAGGGTCAGCACACAGTAGTTGCTCAGTAAATACTGCTGGGTAATCTGTTCATTCTACAGACGTCTAGAGTGGTCGCTGGAGATACCACCAGAAGAAAACCAGACCCATGGGTGTGGGCGGCAGGAGGTGGCAGGGTCCCAGAGGTAGCAGGTCAAGGGCCTGGGGACTCTGGGGTGTTGGCTGAGCGGAGCCTGGAGCTGCCCTGCTGAAGGGAACGGTGCGGCAGGCTGCCGAGGAGGAGGAGGACGCCCAGCCTGGCCCAGGGGACCTGCAGCAGCCGAGGGGGAGGGGTGCCACTGCACCGCGGCCTTTCCCATCCCCCTCTACGCGGGGCCCGGCTGCTTGATGGGCAGCCTGGTCCCGCCCCTGGGCAGCCGGGAGGCCAGCGATTGGTTGGGGCACTAGAGCCGCTCGGTCGCCATGGGGACGCTCAAGAGGCGGGCGTGCCTAGCGCCCAGCGCCGGGGACTAAATCTTCATAATCTGCCGCTGAGAGGATGGGGGTGGGTTCCGGCGCGACCCTGGCGTGGAAGAAGGGGCGGCCTGGGATGCGGTCAGGGCCCGCTGTGGCCGCCCCTCCCCCACCCGCGCCGGGCGCAGGTGTATAGTCGCCAGGGCACCTGGGCCCCATCAGGCTCACCTGACAGTGACCCCTGAGTTCCAGCGTAGCTTCGGCCTCTGCCATCTCAGCTGGTCAAGCTGGGGGCTGGGGCCCGAGGGAAGAGAGGCCTGGAATTTATCTGAAAATGTCTAGTTCCCCTAGTTAAAGTTTGTCCTCCCAGATCCCTCAGGCGATGCTGGTTCTCGGCAGCAGGGGGCGTCCTTGGCAATGCTTTGTTGGGGCCGCCCACCTCAAGAAAGCAGGGATGGCCCACGGAGGTGCAGGGGGCGCAAGCCCTGGCTTGGAATGTCCAAGGTCACTCACCTGGCTGTGCACAGAGGGCAGATCCAGGGTTGCTGTGTCTGGGTGTAAGCTGCCAGGGTTCAGCTTGGCCTACTCGCAGCGGGCAGTGGGTGACTGTGGGGGTCACAATGGAGCCATCCCTCTGTCCTCAGGCTGGGGAAGAGGAATTTGAGGGCCCGCTGTGTGGGCGGGCCTGAGGGTGTGAAGGGGCAAGGTAGTGCTGAGCAGGAGGGACAGGGTGGGTGGAAAGGGGCAACCCTAGGAGCAGGGGAGAAGGGAGGGCCTGGCCAGGCCTCAAGCAGCCTCCAGGGTGTCCAGGGACAAGGCAGGCCACTCACTCCTGACCTTTGAAGACGGGCCTCCCTTGAGCCTGGCTGTGACGTTTGCATGTGACGTTTGCACAGGAGGAACCTCCACACCCTGCACAGGCCCCACCGTTTGGCAGAGGAAGCCTATAAGTGCCTCAGCTGAGGCTATGGGGCTGGGGCAAAGCCAGCCTTGGAGCCTCTAATGTGGCCTAGCAGCGCCCACCTCCCCAGGGACACTCAGGAGGATAACACAGGGCAGGTACTCCAAGGTGGCTGCTGTGGCTGAGATACCCCAGGGGATGGTCTTGGGGGATGGTGGGTGCTGGGATGGGGTCTCACCCCCAGGCTTCTTGTTGCAGACGATTCCTCATCTGAGAGTGGCAGCGGCAATGGCTCCTCCACCCTGAACCCGTCCACTTCAAGCAGCACACAGGGTGACCCCGCCTTCCCTGAGATGAATGGCAACGGCGCTGTGGCCCCCATGGACTTCACTGCCACTGCCGAGGACCAGCCCATCAACCTGTGTGACAAGCTCCCACCGGGCACAGCGCTCGGCACACCCTCCTACCCCTCAGATGGCTGCAGCACCGACGGGCTGCGGGGCCGTGTCAAGTATGGAGTGAAGACCACCCCGGAGGTGTGTGGAGCTGTGGGCTGTGAGCCTCAGTTTCTTGTGCAATCAGTAGGATTGTTGTGAGGCTCAAATGAGATTGTCTATGCCCAGAGTTCAGCTGTGACACCAAGTCAGGGTGGTGGCTGTGTAGGCCATGCTGTCATTTCCTGGGGAGGCTGTGCAATGGGAGATGGCTCAGTGCATGCCCCCAAGCAAGGCCCCCATTTCTCTGAGGCCGGTTCCCCCTCTGTGAAGTGGTAGAGGTGGTAGGCAATGTGTGTCCCCCTGGCCTGTCCCCTCCCCTGGAACAGTCTGCTGTGAAGAACAGCAAGTGGCCACATTCCACACAGAGAGACATGAGCCTCCCCTTCCCTGGCCACTCTGCATGCCTGTCCCCATTTCACAGATGGAGCAGCAAAGGGTGAGGCCCCAGGGAGGTGGGTAGTGGCACTCGTCCCTCAACCAGGCTGATGGGGGGAGGACAGGGTGGGCAGTGCACCTGCTGCTTCCTGGGGCCTCCCTCACGCTTGCGCAGCTGCCTCGGGCCACTCAGGCTTCATGCAGCAGTGCAGGGCAGTGCTGGGTGGGCACCAGCTCTCCTGGAACATCTTCTCCAACCTGGGCTGGGGCCAGAGGTGCCTTCCTGAATCTTACCCGTGGCCTCCAGCCACATACCCCTGCACAGGTTCTCTCCCCTCCCTGAGCTTGCTTTCTCCTCTGTAGAGGGAGTGGGGTGGCTGCCGGTGCTTGCCTCAGAAGGAGCATCCGGTGGGAGAGTTTGTGCAAAAGTGTGGGTGTTGAGTTGCTGCTGTGGGTCTAGCTCAGGCTGTGGAAGCCTGGCTGAGAGCAGAAATTGCCAAAGCACCCTATGACCAGGCCCAGAGGGCATGCATAGCTGCTGTTCCCTGGAGGGGTTGAGTTTTGCTGGGCTGGGCCCTCCAGCCTTTGCTACCATGGCCACAGGTGGGCTGAGAAAGTGAGATGGAAACATGGGAGCCACCAGCAGCTATCTTATGGTTGTCTCTGTCGGCTCTGGCCCTGACCAAGAATTTGGCTAAGGAGTAGCTAGGGAATGTGATCTGCCTAGGGCCATACAGCAAGCTGGTAGCCAGCACTTTGCCCAGGAGGTCTTTTAACATCTCATTGCAAGGCTTGGGGACCTTTTCAAGCCTGTGGATGGATGAAGAGACAGGCATCAAGCCAGGACCTGGGGGAAAAGAGGCCCGGTGGGGGCAGCACTGTGGGACCAGGCACCAGGCAGTATGCGTCTTCATCAGTCAGTTCCCCAGGAACTGTTGGGATCTCCTGCAGGCCGTGCCATGGTCACACTGCCACATCACAGGTTCTGACTGTGCAGATGTTTGTCCCCTAGGATCTAACTATCTGCTAGATGCCAGTCTCCTACAGGGCAGGTACCACGTCCCCAGGACACTGCCAGTCAGAATCCAAAAGAGTGAAGGCAGGACACACCAAAGAAGCAAATGACAATGGTCCTCAGAGAATGGTCCTCAGAGAGTGGTCCCAGAGCAATACCCTGGGGGCGGGGGCGGGAGACAGGGTGTGGGAGCTGCACTGGGAAGGGTGACACGATAGAGAAAGCAGGGAGGAGGGTGCGGAGCTGCATTCCAAGGAGACATGGGTGAGGGGGACTGTCCAGGGAGAGCTCGTGGGCAGGAGTAGAAGGCAGGAGCCCTTCACTGCTGTCAGACAGGCCACTTCCCAGCAGGCTGGGACTGGCTCCCTGTCCCCTTTCTATGTGCACGTTCTCATTGGAGCTCACAGTGTCTTCCTTGTGGGGCAGACAGGAGCCGCCCAAACCCGGAAGCTCCAGGAACACGCTTCGCCTAATGGAACTGTCGCCTTGGCTGGCTCCCCCTCTCAGCCCATCTGTTCCTCCTCCCCGAAAGACAGCACACTCACTACTTTGGTGACAACTCGGTTGTCAACTCAGGGTTGCAGCTTCTTCAGGAGGAAAACTCCAAAGCCAAAACAGATCTTGGCACCACAAGAGGCTGGCTGGGGCGTGCCCTTCTTTCATACAACGTGGCAGGCCCTGGCGTGGACACCCTCTGCTCGCGCCCCCAGGGTGCCAGGCAGGGAGGGAGGTGGCAGCGTTGCTGGTCCTGTTTCACAGGTGAAGAGAGGGGTGACTTGCTCAGGCCTTGCCACTTTGGCCCATGTGGCAGCTGGGTGCGCTCACACCCTGGTCCCCAAGCTCACCACCTGTAGGAGACCAAGCACAGGTCACAAGGAACTGCCCAGTCTGACCTTCTGCCCTGCACCCTCTCTCAGTCCCCCCCCTACAGCTCTGGGAGCTACGATTCCATCAAGACCGAGGTCAGTGGCTGCCCTGAAGACCTGACGGTGGGCCGGGCCCCCACAGCAGATGACGACGACGATGACCACGACGACCATGAGGACAATGACAAGATGAACGACTCTGAGGGCATGGACCCTGAGCGTCTTAAGGCCTTCAACGTGAGCGCTGGCCGGGGACAGGGATGGCGGGAGGACTGAGGCCAGGGCAGCCCCTCCACGGCCTGTGTCTCCCACAGATGTTTGTGCGTCTCTTCGTGGACGAGAACCTGGACCGCATGGTGCCCATCTCCAAGCAGCCCAAGGAGAAGATCCAGGCCATCATCGAGTCCTGCAGCCGGCAGTTCCCCGAGTTCCAGGAGCGGGCCCGCAAGCGCATCCGCACGTATCTCAAGTCCTGCCGGCGCATGAAGAAGAATGGCATGGAGATGGTGAGGCCGCCCCCGAGCCACCCTCTCCCTCGGCGCCTCCACCGACATCCAGCCACACCCCCGGATCCCTGGGCGCCCCCAGCCGGGCACTTTACCCATAGTCCGTCCAGTAGCCCTGGAAGCAGGGACCGTAATCCCTGTCACAAATGAGGGGACTGAGGTCCCGAAAGGTTACATAGCTCCATAGGGTAAGGCCCGGAACCTAAATCCCAGCCCTGCACCGTCCCCCTCTGGGACAGAGTCTCTGCACAAGCCAGGACCCCCCCACCTCCCTGAGCCCTAACACTAGCCCCGTTCCCATTCTGCCTGCAGACCCGGCCCACGCCTCCCCACCTGACCTCAGCCATGGCAGAGAACATCCTGGCAGCTGCCTGTGAGAGTGAGACAAGAAAAGCAGCCAAAAGGATGCGCCTGGAGATCTACCAGTCCTCGCAGGTAACTGCGCGCCACCTGCCGCCTCCGGGGGCCCCTCCCGGGCAGGCGAGGGGGTACAGAGGGTGCAGGGAGGGCAACCCTCAGAAGGGGCGGGGGCAGTTAGGATAGGAAGGGGAGGGCACAGGAAGGTGAAGACGGACAAGGAGGTGCTGAGAGGCAGGTGGGGCAGGTCGGAGGGGCTGGATTTCATCCTGAGACCAGAGGGCCCTGATGGGGCTCAGCTGGACAGTGACTAATCATGTCCCACAGTGAGATGAGCAGAGTCCAGAGGGGGACCCCTGGGGCAAGGTGACCAGAGAGAGGGAACAGACAGAATCCCACAGGTCAAGCCACAGCACCAGATCCCAGGAACCCCAGGGTACAGCCTTTGTCTACCCCATGTCTGGAATGTGGTTGGGGCCTGCTGCCCCTTGGCTTTCCCCCGCACCACCCTCTCCCCTCTGCAGGACGAGCCCATAGCCCTGGACAAGCAGCACTCACGGGACTCCACAGCCATCACCCACTCCACCTACTCACTGCCAGCCTCCTCCTACTCCCAGGACCCCGTGTACGTCAACGGCGGCCTCAACTACAGCTACCGCAGTTATGGGGCCCTGAGCAGCAACCTGCAGCCCCCAGCTTCCCTCCAGACAGGAAGTCACAGTAACGGTGAGTTGGGGAGGACCAGGCACTGGCTCCCCGACCAGCACCGCGCGCTCAGTCTGCACAGCAGCCCCAGGGAGGGGCGGGGCAGGGGAAGCTGAGGCCCCCCGTGCGGTGTGCGGGGGAAGCCTCCTCCTGGGTGCTGGGCCTCCGTCCCTGCCCTGCGCTCGTGGAGCCCATGCTGAAGGCACGTGGGGTGGTGGTTACACGCCCCTTCCTTCGGATCCACCCCCATAGGCTGGGTGGTTCGGTAGGTGTTTCCCTGGTAACTACCTGCATCAGATGGAACACAGACCATTCTTGAAGAAACAGTCCCTGAAGAGAAAGAAGCTTCCTTGTGGAGTTAGGTGCTGCCTTGAGCAGGAACCAGGGTGGGGACCTCAGGCCCATGTGCACCAAGGCCAGAGGGCAGCAGGGAAGGGTGGGGCCAGCCTGGTGGAGAGCAGTCTGGTGCTGTCGGGGCGGGTGGGCACAGGGTCTCTTGGGCCAGGCACGTGGATTTTGTCAGGGGGATAGAGAGAGCCACTGATAGGTTTTATGCCCAGAAGTGCCTTGAAGTGTGCTCTGTCTACATCATCCTGTCTGCCCTTGTGGTGAGGAGGTTTGAATGCGGAGGACAGGAGACAGAAGCAGTGTGCCGTGGGGCTTGTTCAGAGGCCAGGGAGCGAGGGAGGACGTGCGGGCACCAGGCTGCTGCCTGAGGAGTGTGCTGCCTGAAAACTGGTGAACGTGGGTTCTAGGTCTTGGCTGAACATGCCTGAGAATTCCTCAAGCCTCTATGGCTGCAGAGACCCCTCACTTTTCCTGGGCAGCAAGGGAGAGGGCTAGTCCCTGCCCGTGGCAGAAAGCCTAGGCTTCCTCCACTCACCTTGCCCCCCACCCCTTGCTCTGAGCCTGGAGCCAGCCCCCGCCCCCATGCCCCCCAGACCCAGGAAACATGTGCAGGTCCCTGGAAGATTCCTGCCTGGGCTTAACTTCTCATCCCTTCCTAATGCCTCTTAACCTAAAATAAGAGGCTGCCTGGCCCTAATCCCTGAAGCTAAGGCCAGAGGGGCCAGTGCAGCAAGAGGTGGAGCCACTGTCCCAGGCTTTCCTTCCAGGAGGAAGAGCCATCCAACAGCCCTGCCGGGCGGGTCCCTTGTTAATGTGTATAAAGAAAGGTCCCATGGTCAGGGAGATTAGAATCCCCTTTCCCGATTACACATGGGAAGTCTGGGGCCCAGCAGGAGACGTGGGGGTGACCTGGGACCCAGTCCCTCCCAGGCAGCAGGCGATGGTGACAAGCTTCCACCTGGTGCTACCCAGCATGGCCTGTCTCAGGGCTGCAGCTGCCCGACTCCCACGGCTCCTGCCGTGAGGGTGCTGGGCTTGTTCACACCTGCTGGAGAGGCATGGACAGCAGCCAGATCTTTCCTTCCAAGAAGGAGACTGGCCTTGCCCTTGTGAGTCCTGGGGCCTCAGTCTCTCATCTGCAAAGACCCTTAAGAGATGGGTGGGGAGGTCACTGAGGCAGAGATCTGGTCATTTACTTGCTCGCCTGGGGAAGCCCCTCCTGTGGGCACTGGTGAAGAACATTGTTTAAATCTGGGTGTGAGTCCAGGAGTTGGAGGAAAATGACAAGCAGCCATGTGGTCACAGGACCACCCAGTCCCACTGCCCTCCCCAGCCATGGCCCTTTAAGTGATTGTTCAGTCTGGTGCCTCGGTTGGGCAGCCGCATTCATGGCTCAGGCCTCCTCAATTCGCTCATTATGTTGTCATCTGGAGATGCAAATCAGCTTAGATAGAATCAGGCTCTGCCTGTCTTGCCTGGGGTGCTGGGCGACTCATGCCCCCTCCTGTCCCTCCACCAACCACCCGGCAGTCAGCTGGCAACCTGAGCGTCTGGCTGTAACCAGAGCCTATGTGCGTATGTCCCCAGATCAGATTGGCTGCAGGAAACAGGGACCTTCTCCTTTCCAGGCTTTAGCCACCACCCAGGAGAGCAGGAAGGAAAGCTCTGAGCACAGCAGTGAACAGGACGAGGCTTGGGGAAGGAGGGAGGAACCCTGGGGTTCCTCTCACACTGATGGTGGCAGGCAGCTCCAGCCACCTCCACGCATTGTCTGGAGGGGACCAGAGCCACCCCAGAAGGAACAAACCCTCTCTTCCCCATCCCTGCATATCCAGCCCCTGTGATATCCAGAAGCCAGCAGAAGTACTCTTGTTCCCAGCCTGTCCCAGCTGCCCATTTGGCCACCAGCTTGGGAGTCAGTCACCTGCTTGACTGCTGTTTCCAGCAATACACAGCCCCACTCCTTCCTCCTTTTGATTTTAACAAACTTAACTGTTCCCCTAACTCTCAATTCCAAGGAAGAACGCTTCAGCAAACCAGTTCCTAGGATCTCTTTCTTGATGTGCGTGTTCTCTGGTTAGAGAGGAAATAACCCTGTGTGACAAATTGTCCCATCTTAGACTCCAACTTCCTTCCCCATTTGGGGGCTGCACCAGTTTCCTTTTAGCAGCAGTCGAGTTTCCATAATTTATCCCAAGATGTTACTTCCGGTCTAGATGTCTCCATTGACAAGTGCTTGTCCATCTCTATAGCAGCATAAAAGCTGCCACTGTAAATGCAACACTGCACGGACATGGCCGTCCACACCGAAGGGTGGCAGGGAGATGGCTGGTAACCCAGGACAGCCTCACAGCCTGAGTAAGACTATCCTGGGGATGTGGGCGGGAAAGGGACAGGGGACAGGGAGGCTGGCCTACTTGGGTAGGAGAAGGCATCCCTAAGGAAGCCCCAGCTCCCACACCCCCAGATCCTCTCCTCTTTGGCTGTTTTCTTACTGAACACCTCACAAAAATGCTTTTCAAATTCCAGGAGCTTCCGTATCTCCTGGGAGCCCATTTAGAAAGCCCCAAAACCTGTTTGGAAGCCCTTTCCAGACTAAGCAGTCAGGCCTCCCGCAGGCTGGGAAGCCTTTACCCTGACAGCCTGGCTGAATGTTTCACAAGTGCCACCTTGGTTTGCAGATGAGGGACCTGAGGCTCAGAAAAATTAAGGAATGACTGGCGAAGTAGTAGAGGACTTGAATCCATACTTGCCCAATTCGAAAGGCAGCAGCCCACCCCACAGAGCTTTTTGGGAAAAACTGAAAGGAGAGAGGGCCTGGTGATCCCCTTCCCTGCAACACACACCCTTAGTGTGTTTCAGAAGACATCAGGCTCCCTCTTTGCTGCTACCATCCGAGGGAAAGGGCAGGCAATTTCTCCAGATGACTTCCCTGGATCCCTCACTCTCAGCCAACACTCATGTCCCACCCAGTAACATTGACCTTGTACCTCACTCAGGCACAGAAGAACTTCTCAAAGGAAGGGGGTGCCAAGGCTCAGCTGAAAGGCTTTACAACAGCCAGCCCCTTCCTCCATCCACAGGCACCCTCAGTCCCTCTGTCGTGGGGGTGTGGTCATAGCCTGGCTGGTCTGGCCTGTACCTCTTTCCCCCAGCCAAGGAGGGAAGCTGGCCTCTTTCTGGCTTCTCTCCAGCTGGACAGAAGCCCTTCCTTGTCTGAGCACATGCAGGTGTTTGTTTTCCTGGTCTTTTGTGGCTCTACTCTGGACTTCTGGGTTTTCCACACACATGTCCCTGCCTACCTGCAGAATCTCCCTGTTTGGGGAGGAATAGCACACAGATCTGTGCTGCTTCCCCAGACACGCTGACAGACTTCCTTGTAGCGCTCACCCCACAGTTCCTTTCCGGGACCGTTATTTCGCATTCCCATCCTCCGCTCAGCACACTGGGCAGAGGCAGGGCTCAGGTCGATACAAAGTCCCTTTGCCTGGAGGCCGCTTCCTTTGCTTCACCTGGGGACCAGAGCCAGTCTGTGTCTGTTAGGGTCCTCAGAAAGCAGCAGAGACTATGATCAGTGCCAGGGAGTTAGGGTGGGAGCCCCGCTCTGCCTGATGCCAAAGCCTGCACCCATGCCATGCAGCATCCTGTCCTGAAGGCAGAGCCGCTGTGCATACATTCACCGTGTGATCCTGGGCAAACCTCCCAACCTCCTGAGCCTTGGCTTTTTGATGCTGTCACCTTTTTAGGGTGACAGTAAGATCCCCTTCTTTGCAAAATCACCCTGAGGATTAGCTGTGAACCCCCCATCATGTTCTAGGCACCAAGGATACAGCCATCGGGGAGACAGACCAGGACCTCAGACTCAAGTGCCTGGCTCACAGCAGGCACCTGGGACATGGCAGTTACAACTATGTGAAGGATTCTGCACCTCCCAGATGAGAGGCAGGGTACCGCTCCCCTCCTTATCCTTTCTCCCTCTCCACAGGGCCCACGGACCTCAGCATGAAAGGCGGGGCCTCCACCACCTCCAGCACCCCCACGCCCACCCCCTCCAGCAACAGCACCAGCAGGACCATGCCCACCGCCCAGCTCAGCCCCACGGAGATCAGTGCTGTGCGGCAGCTCATCGCGGGCTACCGGGAGTCTGCTGCCTTCCTGCTGCGCTCTGCAGACGAACTGGAAAACCTCATTTTACAGCAGAACTGACCCCACCAGCACCTGGAGTGCACAACCCTAGGGAAGGAGGCTCGCTCAGCCCGGACCTGGCTTCTTGCCTCACCAGTTGGTACATTTTGTTCTTTGAAAGAGGTGGGATCCAAAAGCGCTGTTTCTAGCCACACTCCAAGCACCTGAGACTTTGGGCACAAGGACACTTTTTTTTTTTTTTTTTTTTTTGGAATCTCACCACACGGGTGCTCTGACCTGCTTGGAAGAGGCCAAGGGGGCAGCTCTGGAAGGGTTGGGGCTCCCCTGACGAGGCGCTGGGGCTGCAGCTCTATTTAGAATCACCTTCGTGGACCCTGATGTTAGAATCCCACCCCAGATAATTACCTTTCAAGTCTTAGGTGAGCAGAATTGCATATTTATTGAGAAAAACAAAGTGGACCCTTTCTTCCTCTTAGTAATTTATTTTTCTGAAAATGGATTCTTTTGTGTTTGTACAGATTGCCAGTCTGTGTCTGTCTGATCAGAAGGATGTATCCCAGTACCTAACATTCCATATCACTACACTGATGCGGGCTGGGGGCCAGCAGGGCGGGGTGGGTGCCAAGCTGGCTATCCCTCTGAGTGCCCAGCACACCCTGGGGAAGGCCACCACCCCTTGGCCAGGCTGTCCTGCTGCAGATCCCAGTGCTGTCACAGGGACACCATCAGGCACCGCCAAGCAGGAGGACCTCATCTACACCCATTGCAAAGCAAAACAAAAAAGGCACTCACCCCATTCTACAGAAGCCCCAGTCACATGGTCACCTGTATTCTACCTCACACTCCAGCGTGGGCTTTTTCCAGGATGTGCCCTGAGCCTGATCTGAACAGCTGTCACCCCAACTCCCCCACACAGTGTGTCTGCCTGGGAGGTAAGTCGAGACTGGGTGTCCAGGAGCTGGAGCCCAGAGGGTCCCGTCCCTCTTAACCAGCAGCATGCAGTCCCCTGGTCCTCTCAGCTGCTTGACAGGACAGTGCTGGGAAATGGCAGCGAGTCACTAGGGCTCTTGTCTTCACCCTGCTGCCAGGGAGCCAGGTCTGAACACTTCTCTGCACAGGCCCGGAGCCCTCAGGCACCTGCCAATAAGGGCCTGTTTCTTCAGGCATCAGCTGCAAGTTCCGGGGCAGACTGCAGCTCCATCCCCTCGCCCACAGCTGGAGTAAGGGGATCATCAGTGAAAGCGGAGAAGCCACTTGGGTTCTCCTAGGACCAGCCCTTCTTCTAGAGGGGCCAGTCCTGGAAGAAAAATCCCATAATCCCTGGAGTGTGAAAAAGGGCAAAAAGGAAAAGCTAGCCTGGTTTCCTTCCTCCCTGATAGGCACTTCCTCTTGCTCAGTGCAATACCTACCAGTGCTGCTAAAACCAGGGATTCGCCCAGACCTCACCAGGCCCACTGGGCCTCTCCATGCAACACTCCGTAGCCATGACAGCAGCTCTCTGCTGCCGGCCCCTGCCCAGAGCTGGCAGAAGCCCTCTGTTGCCTTTCCTCCCTCAGAGCAAACAGGCCCCAGGGAAGCCAGGGCTGAGTGGGCCCTAGGGTGGCCACAGAGAGCCACTCCATCCCAGAGCAGGCACCCCTTTCCAAACCAGCTTTTCTTCAGCCGACTGCCTACGGCAGGCGTGGCCACTGCCTCCCAGCACCGTGGCAGACCACCCCTTGGGAGGGGCAGGGGCGTCACTGTGGATGCCCTGTCCTGCCTCAAATCCAGAAACCCTGAAAGGCAAGGTGCCCACCCTGTGCTTACTTCCAGCCTCTGGAGGATGGGGGTGGTCTTATCTCTGTCAAGTGGCCTCCAATACCCACCCAGCCACACCACCTCTGCCTTCCATCCGACCAATCCCCAGGCCTCCAGTCAGGGCTGGGACACCCTCAGCACAGCACAAACTCCAGTGCCCGAGGCCTCTCCCACCCCCCCAGCCGTCCACATGTTCAGTCCCCACCTGCTCAGTACTACTCCCGGACATTTGGATTTGTGTAAATATTTATTTTTGTGTGTGAACAATACTACAAAGTAATCAGTAGACCTTTTGCAAAATGTTACCCCAGGCAATTTGTGAAAATCTTAATGTTAAAAACTGGCAGAGACAATCGCCGCCCTAGAATTCCTGATACCAATTGCTTATGTCATTTCTCCTCCCAGAGGCAGTACCCAAGCTAGACACAAACAGTTTGTATTTCTTGGCAGACAGGAGCGAGAAAGACAGGGGAAGGGCTCCCTCCTGCCATCACACAAAAGGATTAGATCTAAAGAGCAGTGTAAGCTGCAGTTTGAAGCCACATTGTTCTGAGTTCAAGCTGTTGTGACTGACCACCTTCAGCCTGCGGTACATGCGTAGGTTCGATGTGTTCAAAGAGAAAGGAAACCAATACCCATGATAAAGGTCCATTGGGGCTCCCAGGGGCCGTCAGGACAGTGGATTCCATCACGTTGACCCCACTTCTTGGGTGGGGTCCTTCCCAGTGAAGCCCTGGAGATAGTAGAATCGGGAGCAAGTTACTGCGTGGAAACAGGATTCCATTCCTAGTTCAATCAGGGAACTTGTTCTGTTTTGCATTTGTCTTAAAAGATGCAGCTTCAATCCCTTCCCTCTACTGCTGACTTGGAGAGTACCAAAGAGCTGGTTTGATGAACCTAGCTCGCTGTTGTCCCACCCTCACCCAAGGGACTGCCTTCTCCCAAAGGGAGATCTCAAAGCCCTGTCCCACAGCCACTTAAATATCTTATGGAAAGCCTCAGGGCACAAAGTAATCATTTGGGATCCTAAATTAGAAAGGAAATGCAAGAGTAGGATGCACCAGTTCTGAGTCTTTGCAAGGGGCTAATCCCATGAGAAGGGTAGACTCCAAGAAGGGGCATTTGGTGTTAGTGGGAGATCATCTAGCAGACCAGTGATAGTGTGCATAACCCACCTGAAATTCACTTTACCATCACCATTTGTACTAACAGACAGTTTATTCCCAAGGACAGTGTTGAGGGGGAGAAGGACAGGGAGAGGTTTAGGAGGATTTTAGAGGATTTCAGACAGGTGGAACCCATCCATCCCTATTCCCAAGGGCCACTTATGACTCCAGGGGTGATTATAGGATTAACTACCAGTTCACTTTCAAAATGCTGCTTTGAACTCAGAGGGTTGATACTTTTAATTTGTAATTTTTTGTAAAACTTTTTACAAGATAGTAAAGTATTTCACCAGAATACCAGTTTCAATCCGTCCATGGTCTGATTTTTATATAATTTAGTGGTGCTTTAGGAACTTTGTTTTTGTTGTTTCTGAGCTAAACAGCTCAATCCTTTTTCGCCTGTATCTACCTAAGACCAATGTGAACCTTTGTATTTTTGCTCCTAATTTTGGACTCAGTGAAAGTGTACTGTTTACATGTACAGATGCCCCCAGTCCCTGTGTGTTCTGCAAGACTCGCTCTTGAGGAGGAAGATGCACCTCACTAAGCTCATCTGCTTAGCAAAGCCACAAGACAAAACCTCTCACTTTTTACCTATGTTTCCACCTAAAAATTTTTTTAAAAAACCCTACACCACACAGAACTCAGATTTGCTGAAAAAACACTTTCCCCCTGGTAGAGGGCATATAATGCCTCTATCATGTGGTCCATTTAGGAGTTGTCAGAATAGAGGCCTCCTGTCAGCTGCTGGTGGAAAACTTCATGGACAGATGAAAAGTGAAGGCAGGTCTTCGCTGCAGAGCTGGGCAACAAAATAGTTCTGGCAGCCTGGGAATAGGAAGGTCAAGATGACTCATGTGGCCTTCAGGATCAAGCCAACCAGGACTTAGGGATAACCCAAGAGGTCATCAATCCTCTGGCATAATTTAGACATGTTTTGGAAGTGCACGAGTTCCATATCTGGGATGAGATTTTAAGATTTTCAGTGCAGATGGTACAAGCATTTCTTCAGGGTTCCTTCAGAGGCAGCTCATTAATGAGGCACCACCTCTGGGGAGGGGCAACGGGCTCCAGACATTAAGCATATGGCACTTAATGCTAACTGTGGATGGCACCAACTTTTAAAGGTGACTCAATCAATGGCTTCAACTCTAAATTATATTTTTACAGATATGCACCTATGCAACTTAACGTGGCTCTTCTAAGCAGGTGAGGACTTCCTCCTCAATGCTCTCTATAAAAATTATTTGTGTTCAATATAGTGAGTTTTTCCAGTAAATGTGGCTTAATATTTTAATTCTTAGTGTCTTCTTTACGTGATGCGACTAAATTCTGTTTTGTTTGTGGAATGACTAGCACAGGCCGACTCCCTCTCTCCCTCACTTAACAAAAGACCAATGAGCTGTTAATCGAGCTGTTATCTCCATGGTATTACTTGCTAAATGCACTGATTTCATAAGTATGTGGAATCCTTTTCCTTTTGAATCTGTATATCATATATAAGACTGAATCTACTTAATAAACACTGAACAACAAACCAAACGCTGTTTCCACTTTTCCTAACAGCAGCACTGCCAGCCCCATCTCCGTCCTTCTGAATCTACCTTGAGACCAAAACACCTTTCTACTGGTAGACTTCACTTTTTCCTAGCCAATAATCTGACATACAGAAGGTCTTCAGTAAATTTTCTTAAACAAAGAAACCTGTGATTTCATTTCAGCACCTACCTTGTTAGAAAAGGAAGAAAACGAGCTTTTCCCGAGTGCTTGTCAGGTGCTGAGCACAGGCCTACAGCTTTCCATGCAATGTGCTTAAATCCCCACCTCATCCCCACTTCCAGACAAAGAAGCAGATGCACACTGGGTATGTCTGGCTGAAATTCAGTGACCAAGCAAGGACTTAACGTGCAGCTGTTTGCAAAACTTGTACCCTTTCTACTATCTCTTGCCAGAGTGAAGCTAAACCAAATTCCTGTGACAATCTGTAAGTGCTAAAACTGAGCAGACATGATCCCTGGTTCTGAAGCTCTTACTTGACATTCCATTCTATGCAAAACCCTGGATCCCACCTTGAAAGAAATAAAAGGCCACTTTTCCAAAGCAAAGACAGTTATTTGTGCACAACTTTTTTTTCAATCCTACATATATCATTCAGACTAAACTTTAAGGAAAAAAATGTAGAAATATGGCTGGCAACAAACCTGATCACATGGATTTAAAAACAATTTTGATCGCTAGTTAAAAGCATAAATTTTACTGTTAAAATTGTGTGTTTGTGTGTGTGTGTATAAGCACACACCTATTATTAAAAACTTTAATAAAGGCATAAGAATCCTTTCTTAAAAAATAGAAATTCTGTGCAGTAGCCAAACATATAAAATACATCAAAGGAGAGGGACCAGTAGTTTGAAAGCCCCACACTGACGGTGTGCACACTGGGACTGAGACTCCTATAAAAACAAGAGCAGGTCCGGGCACAGCAGAAGATGGACCTCAACACCTCACTTTTTCCATGGATATAGGGATCAAGGGACAGCAAATCCTCAGTAATGCCACAAAAATTCCTTGTCCTACTGAAACTACCACTGCTAAGACTCACTAAGGGACTATTAAAACCCCACTACCTGGGACACCATCTCCAGAACAGACCCACTTCCTGCAGATCCTGCTGGCCTGGCCAAAAAACACCTCCACAGAAAACACTAAAGCTCCACAGGAGCATTGGGATCCCCAGGAGAAATCTCAGAACACAAAAGCGCTGGCTTATCCGTCTTGCCTCTTTACATGGGGCTCCAGACCACTGCTGTTAACAGTGGACACAGGACATAATCAAATGAGAATGTCCCCTTAGAAGAGTGAACTAAACCTTAATGATAAAACAGGCAAACCTCCCTTTACTCAACAAGAGAGGAAATATGCATACTCCGCCCTTTAAAAAAAGTAATTTAAAATGCACTAGGGAAGATTAGTAGTTACAGGAAACCTAAGAATCCTTGCAAAAGTCCTCTCTCCTAGATTAATCTTTTGTATAAACCCGGACTTCATTAGGTTTGTTATAAGCCAAAGAAAGATTCTTAAATGAGAGACCCCAGCTGCCTAAGGAACTCATGAACCCTCTGAATATGCAAAACTCTATACATGCATTCCCGAAGGGCAGTGTCCTTAGGAAAGTGGAGACCTACTGACACGAGGTAAGGCAGCACTGACAAACTGGGTTGTTCTTACAGTGTTCATCTACAGCTTGCAGTACAGAGATGTTTATTCCAGGCATTCAAAATCGTGCAGAAACAGGAAGCACAGGGCACTGTTGAATTTTGGTTTCATGTAGTAACCTCCAAGGCCACACCTTCCACCCTCTCCATGGCTACAAGCAGCACCACACATAAAGGCAACACAGCCTGGGCCTCTCCCCTCAGGGCAGGCAGGTACTTTGGACCACCAAGGCCCCTAAGGGGTGTAGGCTGCTCTATTTAGCTGCACTCATACCACATCCCTCTCAAGCAGGGTCTTACTTCCTCAGGAGCAGGCTGGACATCAAACAAATTGATACCATGCCAGGCCAACAAGATAATACTCTTTCCATATTCTGAGATATCACGTTTCCTCATCCTTTGGAACATAAGTAAAACAAGCCTCCCCTACCAAGTACTCAGTCTCTAAATTCAGGACTGCACTTGACAACTGCAGCGTGAGACTAAAACTCAGACATCACCTTGACAGCCCACACCACTCCTCAGCGCACTGCACACAAGGCCCGCATCTGGGGCCACGGTGAGGCAGGTGGCAGTAGCTGTACAGATTTCTACCGTAAGTTCACGCAGCTATTATGGTCTTGGCCTGGTGCAAGCTAGTAGTCACTGAGTATTTCCTAGACGGTAGGCACTAATGACCTGATAAAGTGGGAACAATTATTATCCCCATTCACAGACAGGAAAGTTGGCAGAGACGTGAAGTACCTCTCTCTGCCCCAAGACCACAGAGCCGGCAGGAGGCAGAGCCTGCACTCTACCCCACTGTACTGTTCTGCCTCCCTGATGAGACACACTTGGCAATGTAAGGTCCCAATCCCGGATTCTAATGCACTCTCAGCTCCTGCAGACGTAAGTGGGCAAATGGATTCTGTGACACGAAGGCACAAGTACACATCAATTCCAACCAGGTGCCCAGTCACCACAGAGCCACCTAACCACAAATTCTCGCACTGTGCGTCTTTCAAACAGCAAGCTGCAAAATGGCAGTTTTCTGCCCCAAGAAGTGTTCCACCACACATAGTTTATTTTACTTCCATCATTTGCTTTACTTTTAGCTTATCGACATACTACAAAGATTGTTTCTGGTAACCATGCATGCGAGTAGTCCAGAGCAGTCAGTCTCTGCACATGCCACCCCCTCAGGCTCTCAGCTAGGTCAGACCCACCTTGTGCCAGCACCTCCTTCACTGCTGTCCGAGGCCACAGAAAGGTGTTCGTGCTCATGATTTCCCAAGAACACAACTGGTCCCTCTCCCACGGAAGATTGTCAGTCACTAGAAATCCACTTGGCAATCTCAGTATCAGTGAGGCTGTTCTGATGAGCAGCTACAGAGGGATGTCCTGGTTCAGGCTCTCATTTACGTGGGGAAAGCACTCTCATCGCTTTCATTTAATTTCTGACTCTAGTCCACACAGGGGAAAAGTTCCCCAAGTCAGGAACGGTCTAAAGACCAATGAAGTTGACAAGTCCTTCCTTTTGGACTAACTTCATGAAAGAAGAGCTCCACAAATACGATTAGTTCTGGACTTGAGGTAAGGTGAGCAGGTGTCTACTCCTTCCAATCTGGCTCTGCACTTCAACCTGACCTTCCCACACCAGCAGAGCAGCCACAGAAGATGACTGAGACCACAAATGCAGGTTGTACAGGTTTATTTTTCCAATACCACAAAGACATACAAGAGCAGTGCTTTCTCTGGGCAGTGCCATGGACTAGACCAGTGTCAAACTATACCCTTGAGTGGCCCCAAAGGTTCCAGCAGAAAGGAGGACTGGACACACTTGGGTCCCTGCTCCTGGTCTTTGGTAAACAGACTCTTGAGCTGAGGACTTGGACTTGGCCAATACTGCATTTTAATTCACCTCATCATCACCAACTTCTCACTCATGCTGCGGATGACAAAAACGCCATGTCAGATTAAAATCTTTCAGATGAAATGAGACTTGCCGAAATCACACAAATTTCATACTTCATACAGAAGCACTCACACAGGGAGATCTAAAGGAAATGAGGACTCTCAACTCTCATAAGATAAGATACAAGAAATAAGGCAGGAAACCAGATGAAGCAAGACAAATACAGGGACACCCACTTGCTGGAAATGTGGTGTGAGAAAGGCAGGTAGCGGGCATGGCTCTGTTTCTTCCCAAACCTGCTTCAAAAGTATGTCAAAAGGAGCCCCATGGCCCCAAGAGAGCACAGTCCCTGGTATTGCTGTGACAGGTGATGACCCTGGAGCCAGATCTGGAAAGCCTGCCCTTGGGGGCTGCCCAGGGAACTCACCCACGAATCCAGAAGCACTTAACACTGGTTGTGGTGATTTGTCACATATGGAAGCGAACAGCCATTAAAGGCTGGAGAAGAAGAGACGTGAAGAGCAAGATGAATGTGCTCAGTGATACACAGGTGGGCTGACCTGGCTCTGCAGGCCATGGCAGATCCACCCGGTGACCTGAGACAGCGCAGATCACAAGTCAATCATTTCACCCTCACGTTGTGCAGCACAGCCCTCAGTGGCTCTGACAATAGGCATAGAGAAGAAAGTTACACCACTTTAATGCAATGATGTTGAAGACGTAAAATAAAGAAGAGACGTTCATGTTCTCTGTACAATACATCCATTTACAGAATCGGGCAGTACTGTGTACAACATATAAATACATGATAAAACATTGGAGGTGCATAGAGCGTACTTACAGAAGCCAAAAAGTTCACTTTATACATCCAAGAATAAAGAGTTAAAAATATAAAAATAAGAAACACACACTGCTTTGAAATGTAAAATGACTTTCACATACACAGGTGCGTGGAGATGCCCACTTCCATAGAGTCCAAGTGATGCGCAGGGTGTCAAGCACAGGAATTCACCTGCAAACGTCTGGACAGTTGACTCACAAGGTCTACAGATTTTCATAAGAAAGACAACCCTATTCCCCGACCCTATTGTCCAAGCAGGGCTAGTCAAGGTTCCAAAAGATCCCACGGGCCAGTGGATCATACTGAGACAGGAAAGTTCCAAATTTGCTTTAGCAACAGAACCAAAGGTCAAACTGGCTCTGTTGACTGGCAAATAACTGGACTGTGACCCTGAGGTCAGCAGGTACTTGAGCCCCCTGGTGGGCAATGCTGGGAGTTGCTTCAGCCCTGTGCTGGTTTCTTACCCAGCCATCAACTCCCCAAACACAGTAGCAGAAGAGATGGCAGGGAGGGGACAGTGGAAGACTGACATTTCTACTCAGTTCAGGTAGGTTAGTTTCCTTGGTGGAGAACACAATCTTGTCGCCTCAGTTTCAAGTCCCTCTGGGTGTCAGGCGGGCTTCCCGCCCACACCAGGCTCTGTCTAAGAGAGAGCTCAGGCTGGCCGGCCTTAGACAGCCCAACAGGTTGCCCCCAGGAAATCCCATAGCAAGACCAGAAGGGTCAACAAGTGGCAGAAGGCTTTAGCACTATAAATCTTAGGGGGAGGCAAGAGTGCTCTTGCCTAGAGAGACAGTCTATAATATGATATTCCATATACAGATTAGATCAATCATTATCAAAATACACACAGTAAATATACAATTCTTCCCACAGCCATAATTTATTATCTCACCACAAGGCACAATACACAGAGCTTTGAGGGTCCGATGCAGTCATCATGACAGAACGCACCACAGCCTCGGCACATGATCATGGCTTTCAGGCTGCATGCACACTGGAGTGAGATGCTTTCCACTGTGCTGCTGTCAGTGAACATCTGCAAGGAGAGTGACGCACTGTGGCTCGCACCAAAGTTCGCTTTGTGGCTCAGCTGCACCACGCTTCCAGTGAGGCCTTTGGGAAAGGTGGCTGAGCTGGAGGAATACTTAAAGCTGGCAGAACTTAGCTGGAGTTTAGAGAGCTTTCCATAAAATGCCTGCTTGATGTTGAGTTGGGAGGGGATAGAAGAAGGCTCCAAAGGCTGACTGAACCCTTTCCCTGGCTCTCGGGGTAATTTCCAAAAGGGCAGGTCCATGACAAAGGGCATCCCTTGCAACTGACCCACCAGTTCCAGAGGACTATGCCCAGCAGCTTTTCTGTTCTCTGCATTTGCCTTGAGAGGATCCCCTATACAAGTCTTCTCGGACTTGATGCTGCCAACAGCGGCAGGCGGTGGCTTTGGAGCCCAGTCTTCCCTTGCAGTCTGTACCCCACCAGACACAAAATTTTTGCTTGGCCCCAACTTCCTAGTGGGAAACACTGGAGGGACCTCGGCTGGCAGTGTCACTGGGTCCACAGGCCTGGGGCACTGAAGGGTTGCAGCCACATTCCCAGAGCCAAAGAGCTTCTTCCCTTGACCTCCAACATTGTTCTGATCACCCAGGGTCCGACCTGCCTGCTCTGGACCAAAGGAGATCACATTTGGAGATGAGAAACAAGGTGCTCTCGAGGTAGTGAGATCTCCTGAACTTCTGCCTGGAACAGCATTTGAATTACTGCACTGGGACACATCACGAATTTCTTTCTGATCTTCAAAACTAAAGGAAGGAAACTGCTCTTTGGAATCCACTTCTTCCAGTTTCCCAGAAGAAGACATCGAGTCCACGGCCATACCAGCCTGAATGCACCCAATCTCATCAGAAGAAGTCATCGGATTTGTCACTGGATGTAGGGAGTCCAAACCTGGCACTGTCTTAGAAATCTTTTGGGGCACTCCCAGAGCTTTGGTGGCCTCTATCCTCACAAGACCAGTACCTGCTTCACAGCTCTCAGGCAGAAGAGGTTCCTTCAAAGCTCTTAAAGTACCAGAACTGCTTCCGCCAACCATGCGACCATTTTCTCCAGGATCATGCAAAGATCCCATGCACAGGGAGACCCCATGGCTCTGCTCTTTTGTGAGTGGTAGTTGTGGGGATTCTAGCTTGCTGCCACTCTGGGGTGGAGGAAGAACCTTATCTAGGGGCAAGTTACTCCGTAGCAACTGCATCACAAGTGGGTTAGTGGCTTCCACTAAGGACCCAGGCCTGGCCAGGCACATGGGCCTCGGCAGGTATTCAGTACTGGCCAGCAGCAGAGAATCTGAGATCTTCTGGGGGACTGCACATACTCGAGATACCCAGCTCTGAGGAGCAACCATCCCATCTGTCCTTGCAACCAGACTCAGGTCACCATTCACCTTGGACAGTGAGGCAGATGGATTCCAATCGGGTTTCTCATCCTTGTCCACCAAAGATCCCTTCATCACCATGACTTCACTAGTGTCAGCCTCACTGCTGTCCTCAGTGAGGTGGCCTTCAAAGTCAGAGGCTGTGTCTGTGGACTCGCTGTGAGGACTCAGTGCTTCAGAGTCTCCACTGATTTTCAGCTTTCCCCCGTCCACCTGTTTGCAGTCACTGCCAGTGCTGTCAATGCCTCCTCGAGACAGCACCCTCCAGGGCGAAGCAGGGCTGTCAGGAGGCTCTAGACCTGCCTCAGCTGTCGACCCCCCAGGCAATGCAGGGATGAGGGCAGCAGCTTTCTCCCACTCTTCTCTGACCTGGGGCTCAACAGATGGCACGTTCTCTCTGGATTCTGGCCCAGGCTGTTTCATTCCCTCATCACTGGATGGAACGGGTATCCAAGGAACAGCAGCATCAGAAATGAGCGCTTCCTCCGGTTTCAAGTTTTCCTCTCTAGTGTCACTTTCCCTCATGGGTGGGCATAAGTCACCAAATCCTGCTTTGTCATCAAACAGTCTGCCCTGCAGGCAGTCAGCCAAAGACAATTCAGGTGGGGAATTGGGGGTCACATGTACAGGATCCTTCATAGCGGGATTACTGTCAAGAACCTGGCCAGTTCCTTCTTCTAATATGACATCTCCCACGAGATGCTGAAGAGGACCATTCTCTGGGGGAACAGTGAGTCCTTGCACCTCCTTATCCCTCTCCCAGGAAGTGGTACCAGACTCACATTCAGTTCTAACATCTAGATGCAACTTGGGCTGCTCAACTAATCTCTCAGCTACTGGGGTCTGGGAGGACAGTGGAGGCAAAGCCTGGCATGGCTGGTCCCCAGTTGGAGCAACGGGGAGTGGGGAAGCATCTTCCAGCCCATGTGTGAGTACATCTGGAACCTTCTGTAGTGGGCAGCTCTCCTCCTTTCTGAGAGAAGCCAGATCCTCTCTTCTGGCTCTGGACATGGCAGTTTCAGCCTGGGTATGCTCCCCATTTAGAAGACAAGGCGGCAGTAGTTGTGTTCGCTGTAGATCTGACGCATGCTCTCCAGAGGTGCTCGGGGCTCCCCTGCGCTCAAGGTGGCCACAGGCCTCACCACCATCACCACTGCCGCCATCTCTGCCACCTCCCTCATCGGTGGCCCCGCCGCCACCTCCACCCGGGCCACCCCCCCCTCCGATGGCAGTTGTGGCCGCCTCTCGATGGCAGTGGGGGCCTCTCGACCCTCGGACTTGCAGAGCACGGGCTTTAATGTCTGCGAGGGTCCTGGCACCAGTCCAGCCCCGGCAGGAGGACTCCGTGATGGGGACGATCCGGGGGCATATCTGGTAAGCGGGCTGACCTTTAACCACCCAGGGTGGTTTGATACGTGAAAGTTGAATCTGCAAGAAAAGAATAGGAAAACAGTTTTAAGTGACTGGGTGATCGGATATAGGACCTGTAAAACAAAACTGGGATTCTAGTAGCTTAGGGGTCATGGCCTAGAGAATCAAACAATTTTCTTAAAAAATGAAATAATCATAGTAAAAGAACTGCTCATGACACCACACCATTCAGAGAAGATTCTGCTCAAGGGCTGTTTCATGCCACACTTTTAATTTCTGGTGGGACTGTGTGAATCACTATAGCAAAGAATCTGACACTACCTAAATAAAGACTTAAAAACCCCAAAGAATTCTGACCTCTAGAGAGAACTTCAACAGAGTGAACAAAAAAATGAGGAAGAAAAGAACTTCATCCCCCTAAACTTTAAATCAATCTTAAGAGAAGCTCTCTGATAGAAATCTTTACATTCCCACATAACTAATGCAACAGTCCTAGGACCTTCTGTCCCTGCAGAGAAGCCTATAATCTCATGACCCTCAAAGGAAATCTAGCTTCAGGGCAGCTAGGAATCAGAGTCTCCTACCCGGATGGGCGGGACTTTGGGCTCCTCTTTAGTGGGCTGTGGCTTTTCGGTGTGAACACTTTCAATTGTGTTACGAAAGGACTGACGATCTTCAAGCCGGGGTTTCTTTTCGGGAAAGGATCCAGAAGCTGCCTGCTCAAAGGATTTCCTCTTCTGATCCTTGGGCTCCTGATCCACAGTCTCCTGAGGCAAGTTGGGAATTCTATCTGGAGATGCAGAGGCACATGCCAATTTGTCCAGCTCAGTCTGGATCTGGGAAGCCACAGTTTCGACCGGGAATTCAGGACCCTCTGGGTCAGGTGCTGCAGAGGAAATGCTTGGCAGGTGGGGACTGCTCACCCCTGCTTGGTCGGTCTTAGGCTCCCCATCCTTGGAGACGGGGGCGTCTGGGGGCACAGATTTTGCATCCTTAGCAACCCCTGCTTGTTCTGGCTCCTGTTTTTTGTACAGATTTCTTCTGGCTCTGGTTCGAAGATCTGGGCGAGAGCGTTTCTTAAAATGCCCATCCCGCTGTCGAGTGGCTGGACCACGCTGTGGCCGTGCTGATTCTCCTGAGACACGCAAGCCACTCTTGATTTCGGCTCCCTCCTGGCCCACATTCTGCTGCGATGACTCTTCCTTGGTCAAACCCAATCTGCAAACCAAACTCACACCATCAGTTACAGGCCAGAGAAAGCATGTCTCTTTTATTTCCATTAATAATTTGCACCCAGATATGCAGATATCTCAGAACAAAATAAATCTGCATGGTACATAACACTAACCATAGAAAAATGTATGTTCACTTCACTGTGAATGGCATTAAGCTAAATGACCCGAGTCACTGCAACTTCCACATTCCTGTCCAACACATAAGCACACACTATGTTAAGACCATCTGCCTCCATCCCTTCAAAAGCCCAGACCAGGACTCACAGCACCAAGTGTCTTACTTTTGTCCATAGTAATCTTCAAAGAACTTTTCTTTCCATTGTTCCACCTTCTTTTCCTTCTCCATTTCCTGTCGTATCCTGACTTGCATCTCATGAGTGAATTCGCCTAGAGGAAAGAAAACTCTTTTAGTGAGTGCATTTAAGATATTAATGTCTGTTTTATAGACAGCCAAGTCTTCCAGTTCTATCGTGTCAGGAGATTTAACAGGACATGCTTCCATCTCTTCAAAGTCCCTCTTTTTCACATCATGCTCTTACTCAGGAGAAGGCTAACCTGCCTACCATAAGGAAAATTTACTCTTCCTTAAAGTGATCAGTCATTCAAGAGCAAGCAACACATTGATCAAAAAGTAAAACAATAAAGAACCATTCTTACTCCTTGTGTAAAAAAAAATTAACACTTCGGGAGAGTGATAACTGATGACAGTGGCTCACTGTGCCTAAACTGTTTATGCAAACAATGTGGTTTATGCTGAACATCTGCTTTCCTTTTGGGAATCTGGAGTTTGGGTATGTGCCAGTCAGTGGCTTCCTACATGATCAGCCCCCAATAAAAATCCTGGGCACCAAGTCTTTTTTTTTTTCCTTTTTGTCTTTTTTCGTGACCGGCAACGGATCGCAACCCTCACTGTCGCGCCCGTACCGGACCGGGACCGGCACCGGGATCGCAACCCTCGGTGTTACGCCCGCACCTCGCTCAGCCAGTGAGCGGCCGGTCTGTATGTGGGATCCGAACCCTCGGCGGGAGCGCTGCCACGCTCCCAAGCGGCGCACTGTAGCAGTGCGCCACCGGGCCGGCCCATGGGCACCAAGTCTTTAACAAGCTTCCCTGGTAGACATTTCACACATGTTGTCACAACCTATCACTGGGGAAACTGCATGTGTCCTGCATGACTCCACTGAGAGAGGACCTGGGAAGCTTGTACATGGCTTCCTCTGGACCTCACCCCATGTGCCTTTCCCTTTGCTGATTTTGCTTTGTATTCTTTTGCTATAATAAATCATAGCTGTGAGTACAACTATATGCTGAGTCCTGCTAGTGAATCAGCTAACCTAGAAGTAGTCTTGGGGTCCTCCCAACACAGTCTCTATGGGACTACCCCACAAAATTAAATTGTCACTCGCAGTGACAATGCCTAAAAAGACAGAGCATGGAGGAGCTTAACGTGTCAATGCCTCAGTGTGGCTTCCACTAGCCATCCAGACAATGCTGTGATTACTGGAAAGAACAGACATTCATAGTTTTAATGACAAAAAGGAGATACAGAATGAATATACATACACAATATAGTGAAAGTCCAAATACCCTGTTACTTCTTCAGAGTTGTGTGGCACATTAATATCTACCACATGCACTAGTATTGTGAGGAAAGCCTGTCCTATACTAAATATCCCTTGAGAAAAAAGAGAGATGCATGAAAAATGAGTGCTTAGGTTTTAAATACCAGGAGATGTGCAGTACCACACATGGCAGGCATCTCTCAAGCCATCTGAGAAGATAAAGTCTACTCACCATCAGCCAGGCGCTCCCGCCAGCTCTGAGCTGCATGCGTGAAAAACTCATTATTTAGTGCACTGCTGCTGAGACGCAACAGGCCATCTGTCCCCACCTAGAAGGATAAATAAAGTATAAATAAACAAACAAAAAACATAAAAGAGACCAGAAGCCCACCCAGAAAGAGGCAATGAGGAGGCAGTCCATGTGCACCTGTCTGTCCACTTCGGGCAGGAGGAAGAGGAGCTGCTGCTGGAAGTGTGACGGCAGGGCATGGAAGGTCCGAGAGTTTATTAGGGCACGGAGGTTGGTGTTGACAAGAATGGACCCTGGTGTCTCAAAATCTATCTCTTCCCCTCTGTTGCGCTTCATTTGACCTGTGATTTTTGAAGCAAGAAGCAGCAAGGTATAGATTTTCAGCTTCTTAGAGCAAAAAAGCAAATGCCCACTGGTGAAAAACTTTGGTGGAAGCACCCAAGCTACCCAGAAGTTATCTGCATACAATCTGCTCAATTGTCCAGTCCATCCTAACCTGCTTGTAATAATTATTCTTTCCAGGTTACTGTTGGTGCCACCAAATCTAAGAGAACACTTGGGCTTGCATTCCTTCATACAACACTGTCCTGTGCTGTGTCACAGCCTGAAAAGGACACTCTTCCCATGGAAAACCAGGCAGTGGGCAGGGGTTGTGAGCTTCCCTCAGAAGCTGGAAAATAGGCTCCACAAAGCCCAATTGGAGAAATGATGGAAGTTGTCTAAAAACAAATCTAGTTAGTGTACTACAGAAAAATCTGCAGAAGCCTATGAATGAGCTGGAGAGGAATGAACTACATGCAGAAATGTACTAAGGGTTGTACAAAGCCAAACAAAATGTCAATATTCTCACAGAAGCCTGAGCAAATGCTACTTTTATTTGAAAAATCCCTATAATAGAGACCTGTGGGACCTTAGATTGTGCATTGCTGATGAGCTGGAAAAGTAAGACGACAGCAAACCTAGTTCACACTTTGGCAATGTTTTTTTCTAATTTTCAGAAGTCAAGGCTAGTATTCTTTTTTTTTTTTTTCCCCCTTTTTTGTCTTTTTTCGTGACCGGTAACGGGATCGCAACCCTCAGTGTCGCTCCTGAACCGTGCTCAACCAGTGAGCGGACCGGTCTCTATATGGGATCCGAACCCTTGGCGGGAGCGCCACCGTGCTCCCAAGCGCCGCACTCTACCGAGTGCACCACCGGGCCGGCCCCCAAGGCTAGTATTCTTAATGGTACATGTGGCCCATCTACAAAAATCCCCAGCATGTGGGCCATAAGAAATAAGTCCTGAAAAAGCAAACAGCACACTAGCATTGCAAATAACCCCACTGGAAGGTGGGAGGGGTTCAATGTAGCACTACTGAATTTGCCTGCATACCCAAAATTCAACACATGCTTCCACTCAACATATTGACTAGGTTGTTAAAAAAGGAAAGTCTGATAAAGACCACGGATGTTGAGAACAAATGTGGCAGGATGCTACCAAAGAAAGAAAACAGACGTTGGAAATTCTTCACTGAGAAGATCATAAGCAATTTCACTCGAACACTGACTAAGCAATATCAAGGCAGGCACAGGAGGCCCTACAGAGACATACAAGGAGAAATGCGGGACCATCTTTGCCTGTAAGGAGTGCTCACACAGTCTAGCAGAGATCTATACACAAAATAACCAAAATACAAGGTAAAAAGAAACAAGAAATAGAGGGCCACCCAAGAACTAAAATTAAACTGTTGAAGGAACTGGAGTAGAAGACATCACCATCTCACTAGGCCCACAGGGGCCCCTGTTACAGGCAGAGAATGAGTGCCAAGCCACTCACCTGCGGCTGGCTTCCGGAAGCCTCTCAGGAGCGGGGCAGGGTCCCGGGCGACCTCAGCCTGGCCACGAATAGCAGCGCTGCCGAGGGCCAGAGAGCCGCTGCTGCTGCTGGATGGGCTGCCATTCTCGCCATCACCGTGGCGGCCAGAGAACCCTGAAGGCACAGCATTCCACTGGTCAAAAGTGTCACAGGCCACGCCCATGGCTCTCAGACAAGCTTACTTCTCCCAGCTCTCCCTAAGATGCTGCCAGCAATACTGGGGTGCTTCTATCTCTCAGCCCTGGGCTGACAGAAATCACCACCTCATGGTCTGGCTTTAAAATGTCACCTTAAGAATGCCATACCGCCACCTTTATTTGCACAGCACTACACCATTTACAAAGCACTGGTACAACTGGATCCTCATGAGCACCCTGGGAGGCAAAGCGGAGGGCACACAGCAGAGCCCAGCACTAGAACATACTATGGCAGGCCTCACTACCACACAGAAGCTGGGTCTCCTGACTGTGGCTCACCAGCACTACTGGCAACGCACAACTAAGGCACAAATTGCTGACAGAGGGAGGCCACGTCGCCAGGACCTGAGTTCACACAATGATGAGTTCACACGTACCTGATGCAGATTCCACGTGGGCCCCGTTTACCTTCAGAGGAGTGAGGACAACTCGAGGCAGCATCACCCCAGTCTTTTTCTTTTGCTTGTTTGCCTGCATTCCCAGAGGTAATGAAAAGAAAGCTGGAGTCATCTGCAGAGTTATAACAGCACTCCCTCTCGACCCTATCCCTACCCATTCTCTTGTAAAACAGAGCTTGTGTTCAACCAGATCTGTCAGGTAATGCTGACAACAGCATGACTAATGTTACTGAGCTATGTGCCAGTCACTGTGCCAAGTGTCACCCCAAGCTGAAGAGCGTGTATTGTTATCCCCACTTTACAGATGAGGAATTTGCCCAAGGTCCCACAGCTAATGAGTGGCAGGGCCATCATTCAAACTGCTGACGTCCAAGCTCATGTTCTCACCACTCTGCACTGTTCGATACTTCTCCCCAGGTGTTCATATGTGCATTACAAGAATGAACAGAAGTACCCAGCCATGGTAAAGAGAAAAAACACATCACTCTGCTCTTGCTCCCACTGTTCCTTTTTCCTGTGGCCCACTTTGAAATGGTATAAGAGGTGGAGACCAAACTTACTTTCTCCACTCTTCAAACATGTTCACAGCTAACTGTGGAAGGAGAAAGAATCCTGTCTTGTGCCTGTCCTCATTTATCTTCCAGCCTAGTCACCAACTCTCCTTCCTACCTGTGAGGAAGCTCTGTAGCTGTCCCTGGGACTGGAAAGAGGCCGACTCTGAGATTCTGTAGAACAGGATGCATTTGAAGATGTTTCATCAAGAGATACTGGAAGAGAGGAAAATAAAGGTTAGTCCCCAGAGATTCCCTGTGGCTCCTTCACCTGTCCTGTTAAGGGCACTTACCATCATTTTCACCACTCACAGTGCTGGCTTCATTTGACCCGCAGCTTTCCACATCAGCTGTATCCTCTGGCTCCTCTCCCTCCACTGAAGCCGGATTGCGAGACCACTGCAGGGCATCCTTCTGTGACAGAAAGGCACAACTCAGGTGAACAAAACCCTACAAACCCTACAAGCACAGTAGTCATTCCTACATTTGTATGCTTTTGGAGAAGAGGGATTTAGAATACTGATAAGTTCCTATCCCTTTCTAACTGACCTCTTTCTCAGCAAGCTCTTTTCTCAAAAATACAGGAAAGTTAGATATAATTTTGCATGCAATCGCTCAAACATTTATAGGGTGCCTCCTATAAGCTACACCATACTTATTCCTTGGGGGGTGATAAGGAGTGGGAATCAGGGCCCTATCCTCAAAGAGCTCAACTGAGTAGGAAAGAAAATCCAATTGATTATAGTACAAAGTATAGTAATAGAGGTAAATAGTAATAGAGTATAGTAATAGAGTAATGGAGAGCTGTGACAGTCCAGAAGAGGGGGCACCTAACTCACCAAGTTTGGGGAAAGAGAGCAAGAGCATACAGAATGCAAATAAGGGTCAGGGAGGTAAGGCTTCCAAGGGGATGTGTTGTTTGAGCTGAGTTTTAAAAGAAGTTAGCTGGGCAGATGGGTTGGCAGCAGGGAGACAGCAGGAAGTTCTAGATAGTGGGATGAGCCAATGTGAAAGAATATTCCTAACTCAGGGAAAATGTAGATTTCAGAATGAGTGTGAGGAACTGAATACATAGGAGACTAGAGACATATCAAGAGGGCAGATGATAAGACATTGTGTGGAGGAATTCAGATTTTGATTTTATGGAGCCTCTGAAGAATATTAACCAGGGGGATAATGTGAGCTTTAGGAATTTCATTTTGGCAAGCAGGGGGAAGTCTGGAGGCAAGAAGAAGAGAGACTGACAGAACTCCAGTGAAAAATGCTGAAGATCTAAACCAAACTAAGATAGTGGCAAATAGGCTAGAGCGTAGAGAAGAGATCCACCCCAAACTTCATCTCCTAACAAAAGCTTCTTTCAACAGACTCATCATCCAGTTTCAAAATTCGACTCCACCAATTCCCAAGGAGAACTCAGCAGCTGAGTTCAAATCTCAAAACTAGAAAGGAGTGTGAATGAATATTGGGGGTGGGAGAGAGGAAGATAAGAGATAAGTTGGAGCAGAGGAGAGGGATATCTTCTTTTCTGAATAAAAGTATGTGGGGAAGAGTATGTAAAGTCATGATTCTATCTCTTAAAAAGAAAACGAGAGCTGGCTGGTTAGCTCTGTTTGTTAGACACGGTGTTACACACCAAGGTCAAGGGTATGGACCCCCTTAACCAGCCAGCTGCAAAAAAAAAGCAACAGCTTGTTAGATCTTTACCTCTTTTCCCTACTAACCATAAATGCTACTCAGAATCAAAAGCTAAAGAATATTTTTAGTATTAATCTTACAATTATGCTTATTGACTGCCATGTTCTTGGAATGATGAAACAAATGTAATCTCTGACACTCATGAGCAAACTAAGATAAAATACTCATTAATGAATAGAGGAGTCCTATTACATTGGCAAGTTGACCCCAAAACTCCAGTTCTGACAAGTGTGTGGGAAAATCACACATACACTGTTCTTGAAAGTGAAAATGGTATCAAAAGGTTCGTCCACTACCAGTGGGAGAGAAAACTGTTAGCAAAAATCTAAAACACCTTTTAACCCAATGCTCCCATTTCTAAGACTGATACAGGACATGAAAAGCATTAACTCTTATAAAGGAGAAAATTAATCAATTGAACTACATTGAGATTAAGACCACCTATTAATCAAAAGACACCATTAATGGAGTGAAAAGGGCAAGCTACCTACAGAGTTGAAAAAGATATTAGCAACTCATATAACCAATAAAGAACCTGTAGCTAGACTACGTAAATCAGTAAGAAAAAGGCAACCCAAAGAAAAATAAAAGATATGAAAAAGACACTGCACAAAAGATGATATCCAAATGGCCAACAGACACAGGAAAAGGTATTTAACCTGACTAATAAGGAAAACACAAAATAATGCAAATTCAAACCACAGTGAGATACCAACACAACCAACAGGATGGCTATAATTAAAGCTTGACAATACCAAGTAGTGTTAACAAGGATGTGGAACAGGTACACTGAAAACTGATCCAACGATTTGAGAATATAGTTTGGCATTATCTGATACAGTTGAAGATACAAACATCTTATGACCCAGCAATGTCATTCCTGGGTATGGATTCCCTAGAGAAATACTGGCATGTACGCATCAGGAAGCAAAACCAAAATGTTCATGGCTGCATCATTCGTAATCTGGACTATAAACAACCAAAGTGGCTATCAACAGCAGAATCAATAAATGGTAAAATATTCAATAAATGAATGATTATACAATAATTAAAAAAATGAATGAACTACAGCTATTCACAACAACATGTATGAATCCTAAAAACAAAATACTAATTGAAAGACGCCAGAAACAAAAGAATGAATATTGTAATGATTACATTTGTAAAAAGTTCAACAACAGGCAAAACTGAAGTTTAATGTTAGGAATGCAAACACAGCTAGGAAACAAGAAAGAAAAGCAAGAAAATAACTTCTACAAAGTCAGGATAGTAATTACTTTTAGGGGGAGAAAAAGGGTTGTGATTGGGAAGGGGCACGCAGGGGGCTCCTGGCTGGTGGCCATGTTCAAAGTCTTGACCTGAGTGGCAGTTAAGGGTATTCACTTTATAGTAATTCATTAAGCTGAATGTTTGTGTCCTATGCATTTCACTGTATTATACTTCTACAATAAAAAGTTTAAAAACAAAAAATAAAGAATTCTCATCAAGAAACACTACCATAGATAGCCATTTGAAATAAAGCTATAGAATACTTAATAACAGGAGAAATGATAATACAGCAAGTGAATTAAGCAGTTAAATTCATATAGCATGATTCCATCACCATTTTTAAAAAATGAAATTTGTGTGAGTTGCATAGGAAAAAGATGACAGAAACACTCACTAAAGGTGTTAGCTGTCAACATCCCTAGGTGGTAGAATTTTAAGTGTTTTATTTCTTTTTTGATTTGGGATATTTTCTACAACTAACATGCATTGCTTTTGGTGATCAAGAAAATAACATTTAAAAAGAAAAATGAGGGTGCTAAATGCTTTACCAACACCTGAGTCAAAATTTCCTTCCTCTAGGTCCTAGAGTCTAGGAGAAGCCTAGTGTTGATCACAAATCTCATTAATTAAACAAACAGAAATACTGCCTGCTTGTTTGCAATTCAAACAACTACATTTTCAGTAAAAAGCAAACAAGAGAACAAAACTTTTAAGAAAATAAAAGCAAGATCTACAATTCTTTTTTTTTTTTTGGTCCTTTTTGAGACCAGCCACACCGCGCTCAGCCAGTGAGTGCTGTGAGCGCATAGGTCATCCCTATATAGGATCCAAACGCGTGGCAGGAGCGCTGCTGCGCTCCCAGTGCCACACTCTCCCGAGTGCGCCACAGGCCCAGCCCAAGATCTACAATTCTAATTCTGCACTTTACAAAGATCATTAATCTTTCCATTAGAAACTGTACAAGTTTGACATCATTAACTTGCCATACATTAGCTCTAGAAGTTTGACAAATAGGAAATGGGCTACTGAAAATTACAGCTGCCAGAAAATATGACCTAGGACCCAAGATTTTAACTTTTTTCCAGGATATTTTCCACCAAGAAGTTATAAAAAAAATTAATAGGTAATGGGTGATCTTTCACTAAATCATAAATATAAAAGACTTTTTTTTTTTTTTTACTATTCTCTTTTATCCCCCCCTCCAGTTTCATTGAGGTATATTTGACAAATAAAAATGGTATATATTCAAGGTGGACAATGTTATGGTATAATATACATATACATTGTGAAATGATTATCACATCAAATGAACACATCCCACTGTGTGGGACAGTGGGTGGGGGGGCGGTGAGGACACAAGATCTACTCTCTGCAAATTTGAAAACATTACTGGGATATTTCAACGTGAACTGCATACTAGATGGTAGCACCGTTGCACTAATGTTAAACTTCCTGAGTGCATAACTGTATTGTGCTTATGTAGAAGATCATGTATACCCCTGGGATCAATGTATACCCCTCATACACTTTCCCCTATTTAAAATTAAGGTATAATTTATATACACTGAAATACACAGACCTTAAGTGTACCATTTTATGTTTCAACAAATGCATATCAAGATATAGAACATTTCTGATGTCCCCAAAAGTTGTCCTTTTCCCATTCCTAGTCAATCCCTGTTCTATGCTGCCTCTATGCTGCCCCTCCCACCCTACTAAGGCAATTGCTGTTCTGATTTCTATCACCATAAATTTCTTTTGCCTGTTCTTGGTCTTCATGTAAATGAAACCATACAGTATGTACTGCTCTGTATCTGCCTTCTTTTGCTCAGCCTAATGTTTATAATATTCATCTGTGTTGTTGCATGTATCAGTAGTTCATTATTTGTTACCACATAGTAGTATTCACATACAACATAAACTGTTTATCTATTCTGTTGATGAACATTTGAGTTATTTCCAAGTTTTGGCTATTATGAATAAAGCTACTATGAACATTGTACATGACTTTTTGCAGAGATGTTTTCATTTCTCCTGGGTATATCTAGGAATAGAATCGCTGGGTCACAAGATGAATGAAAGTTTAACTTTATAAAAATGTGTCAAACAGATTTCCAAAGATTTACACCCCAAAAGCACTCTGGTTGCCTTACATCCTCACCAATATTTGGTGTTGTCAGTCTTATTTTAGGCATTACAGTGGGAGTGGGAGTACCTCACTGTAGTTTTAACTTTCATTTGCCTGATGGCTAAAGATACTGAACACTTTTTTACATGTTTATTGGCCATACTCATATCTTCCTTTTGAAATATCTGTTCAAGTCTTTTGCCTTTTTTTTTCCCCCCCTTTTTTTGTCTTTTTTCGTGTCCGGCAACGGATTGCAACCCTCAGTGTCGCGCCCGTACCGGACCGGGACCGGCAACGGGATCGCAACCCTCAGTGC